AGATAACTAACCCGTGTGTTCTCTGCTCTATAGACTCCTCTCTCTAGAGATAACTAACCCGTGTGTTCTCAGCTCTATAGACTCCTCTGCAGCGGAGGAGATGCCAGGTGTTGTTTGCTGTGTGTTTGCCTCTGATATTCCGGGCAGTAACGCTACGGGACCGATCCATTACGACGAGACGGTGCTCGCTGACCAACAGGTGAGTTCCTGTGGACCAATCAGGAGCCTCCCTCAGAGCCCCGCCCACACTGACAGGTGCTTCCTTTACTCTCTACAGGTGACGTGTGTCGGACACATAATCGGAGCCGTGGTGGCAGAAACTCAGCTGGAAGCTCAGAGAGCAGCTAAAGCTGTGAAGGTTCAATACGAGGAGCTAAAGCCCATCATCACCATACAGGAAGCCATCGCTAACCAGTCCTTCTACCAGCCATTCAGAACCATCCAGAACGGAGACCTGGAGGCGGGCTTTAAGCAGGCCGACCACACCCTGGAGGGTAGGGACTCATAGAGAGCCACTTCCTGTTCATAATAATAATACACTTTATTTGTATAGCACCGTTCATGCACAAAGCAGCCCAAAGTGCTTTACAGAACAACAGTGATCCGCATCAAACTCCCTTGAAGTAAAGCTGACAAGAAATTAAAATAGGTTAAAATAAAACAATTTTAAAAAGAAAATTAAAAATGTAAAATAAAAGCACAAAATACCGTAAAACATGGACATTGATACCAGTGAGAATTAAAAGTTAAAAGCTGCTCAGGTGCTGACTGCTGATGGGTTGATTGTCCGACAGGTGAGATGCACATTGGAGGGCAAGAGCATTTCTACCTGGAGACCAACGTCACCCTGGCTGTTCCTCGAGAAGACGGAGAGATGGAGCTGTTCGTCTCTACGCAGGCTCCCACCAAAACACAGGTAATACTACTCTGAAGTGATACTCTGAAACACAGGTAGTGATACTCTGAAACACAGGTAGTGATACTCTGAAACACAGGTAGTAATACTCTGAAACACAGGTAGTGATACTCTGAAACACAGGTAGTGATACTCTGAAACACAGGTAGTGATACTCTGAAACACAGGTAGTGATACTCTGAAACACAGGTAGTAATACTCTGAAACACAGGTAGTGATACTCTGAAACACAGGTAGTAATACTCTGAAACACAGGCAGTGATACTCTGAAACACAGGTAGTGATACTCTGAAACACAGGTAGTGATACTCTGAAACACAGGTAGTAATACTCTGAAACACAGGTAGTGATACTCTGAAACACAGGTAGTGATACTCTGAAACACAGGTAGTGATACTCTGAAACACAGGTAGTGATACTCTGAAACACAGGTAGTGATACTCTGAAACACAGGTAGTGATACTCTGAAACACAGGTAGTGGTACTTGAATCTACTAATACATGATATTTGTGTTATATAATGATATTAAAATGCTATCTCTCTCAGTCTCTGGTGGCGAAGGCTCTGGGCGTCTCGGCCAATCGGGTGGTGGTGCGGGTGAAGAGGATGGGGGGGGGCTTCGGGGGGAAGGAGTCCCGCACCACGCTGCTGTCCACCGTGGTCGCCGTGGCAGCCAACAAGTGAGAATACACCTTTAATTAGAGGCTCTTATTTTGATTATCATGTTCACGTAGATTCTCTTATTTTGAAATGTAGAATATCTAGCTACTATATAAAAATAGATTCTCTTATTTGGAATTGAGATGTCTAATTATCATGTTTACGTAGATTCTCTTATTTTGAAATCTAAAGTCTACCTGTGTTCCAGGCTACGGAGGCCTGTGAGGTGCATGCTGGACCGAGACGAGGACATGTTGATCTCTGGGGGGAGACACCCCTTCTACGGGAAATACAAGGTGGGGGGGGAGTCATTACTAGCGGTTGAAGTATTGTAGTACTTTTGGCAGCAAGAGTCATTTTAAAGTTGTATAATTTGGGCGTTTTCAGAACTGCAGTTCATTTGCTTTGGTCTGATTCAGGGATGAATGAGTATCTTCTTCCTCTTCTTCTTCCTCTTCTTCTTCCTCTCTCTTGCAGGTGGGTTTCCTGAACAGTGGAAAGGTTGTGGCTCTGGACGTGTCGTACTACAGTAACGTAGGAAACTCCATGGACCTCTCTCTGTCGGTGAGTCTCTTCTCTAACAGCCGTCCTCTCCATGTTGACGATGTGCTGATGTCTGTCTGTTCGTCTGTTTTTCTTCCAGGTGATGGAGCGCGCTCTCTTCCACATGGAGAACTCGTACAGTCTGACCAACATTAGAGGCCGTGGCTTCCTGTGTAAAACCAACCTGCCGTCAAACACCGCCTTCAGAGGCTTCGGAGGACCTCAAGGGATGATGGTGACGGAGAACTGGATCACTGACGTGGCTCAGAGCCTGGGGAAGCCTTCTGATGAGGTACGTGAGGGGAGGAGTGAATGTTGGGCTATAAAGGAACTACAGCACGGTCACATGACTTCACATCACCACCGCTAAGCTAAAGGTGGCTAATGTTGGGCTATAAAGGAACTACAGCACGGTCACATGACTTCACGTCACCACCGCTAAGCTAAAGGAGGCTAATGTTGGGCTATAAAGGAACTACAGCACGGTCACATGACTTCACGTCACCACCGCTAAGCTAAAGGAGGCTAATGTTGGGCTATAAAGGAACTACAGCACGGTCACATGACTTCACGTCACCACCGCTAAGCTAAAGGTGGCTAATGTTGGGCTATAAAGGAACTACAGCACGGTCACATGACTTCACGTCACCACCGCTAAGCTAAAGGTGGCTAATGTTGGGCTATAAAGGAACTACAGCACGGTCACATGACTTCACGTCACCACCGCTAAGCTAAAGGTGGCTAATGTTGGGCTATAAAGGAACTACAGCACGGTCACATGACTTCACGTCACCACCGCTAAGATAAAGGTGGCCAATGTTGGGCTATTAAGGAACTACAGCACGGTCACATGACTTCACGTCACCACCGCTAAGCTAAATGTGGCTAATGTTGGGCTATAA